TAGCCGGCTGCTGCGCTTTTAATAAAGGACCGTGACGATCGACCGTGCAGCGCTTTGCTTTGGTTTCTGTTGTTTTACTTTTTTTCTTACAAAGTGGCGGATTCGTTTTTCGGTTACGCGACCGAACGCAACAAAACGCTCGTGTCTTGGAGCGCACGAACAATATCTCTCACAACCATCGATCACGATTGATTTGATTGATTGATATGTGGGGTTTAACGTCCCAAAACCACCATATGATTATGAGAGACGCCGTAGTGGAGGGCTCCGGAAATTTCGACCACCTGGGGTTCTTTAACGTGCACCTAAATCTGAGCACACGGGCCTACGGCATTTCCACCTCCATCGGAAATGCAGCCGCCGCAGCCGGGATAACCATCGATCCCAACCAGGTTGTTACATTGGAACGCGAAACCCACTTACCATTTTGTATTTGTCCGCATTCGTGCATAATCGGCGCATAATCATCGTGAAGTCCGGTTAATTGCCGGTTCCGAGAATAGCCTGGCTATATAACATGTGGTTAGCGTGTAGGGCTACATGATATGCGAGTACCCGCAAATTAAGAAAACAAATGGCGGAGTTCAGCGAGGCAGATTACGCTGTAGCGCCGTTCCTATAGAAAAGCGACATAATTGGATTAGCTTATGAGAGAGCACCGGTCGATCGGCGTTGCGCGTGCTATCGATTTTCTTAACAACTACTATGCCTCGCTGCCACCGCCCTTCTGTTTTACGCTTGCACGCGCCGTAAGCTGCATCGCCGCATGCGGGCTCAGTTTGTCATTAGAATGCGCCAAGGCACATTTCTCATACGCCCAGCGACTTGTAGGCGCGGCTTTTGAGCGTTACGGCGGCGGCTTCGGCTCGAGCACCGGCGTACCGCTTTCCTCGCCCTTCTTCTTTCTCGAAAGTGTCAAGGGATTTAATGGTTGAGCTGGAGGAAATGTGATGGGCAAAGAGGAGGTTAGGAAAAAGGAAGTGCCAAGGCAAGCGACCAGGACTTGCGAGTCGCTCCGACGGGTTCGCGTTAAAAGCACACAGAGGTGAAGAGTGCATTTTCGTCACAGCGGCTCCCGGGGGCGTAGCTGTGGCGTATCCTAGAATATACAGTTACTTCAGCGTATCCTAAGGTCCCTGCGCCAGTGCCACGAAAGCGGAAGTTACGCGGTCGGAAGAGAGGGGTGGGGAGAGAGAATGGCGCGGGCCGTACCTCTGGCGAAGGAAGGTTAGAGTATCGAGAGGGCTCAACTGTTTGATGTAAACGAGCTATGAAGGGGAGAAACGCTGGGGCGGAGAGGAAGGAGAGCGGTGCGGCGGTTCCGAAGGAAAGTAGGCCTACGGAGACTACGAGGAGGACGAGAAGAGGGAAGAGGCAGAAGTGGGCGTACTTGTCTGGCATCGCCGCCGCGTCGTTGTGGCTGGAGGCCCTCCCGCTCCCAGCGCTACGTCTGGGCCAGACGGCGGTAACCTTGGCAACAGCTCGTCTAGCTCATCTTTCCCGCTGACCCTCCTCTCTTCGTCTCTCTGTCTGGGCGTTCTCCCCTCTCCTAGGCCAAGGTGCGGGTGCTTTCTTTCCTTCCCCCGGGCCGCTTCTGTCTTGCCGGCGGGTCGGAGTTCCGTTAACGCGGTTGCAACGGCACGCGTGGAATGACGCGGCGGCATAGCCAGATGATTTCTCCTCCGCAGAGCTCCCTAAACACTCTCCCCTGTAGACGCGGTTGTTCACATGTACGTTGTTTTCTATATATTTCTGTCGCCACCTTCCGCCATGATGCGCGTATTCACGTGCGGCTTATATTTTAGTGCAACCCGAGCGATTTCCACCCAACACGACATGTTAGCTTATGCTGTTTTACGACGGACTCGGAAAACGACAGAGTATGTTCCAAGGGGCCGCCGCGGAAATCTCGTGTCGCGTTTCTCGTGTCGCGTTTAAGTTGCGTATCTGCTGGAAGTTTTTTTTCTAGATCCCACCATGAGCGCGCGCTCGATAACCGCGCTATTGAGCGCAGCAGAAAGAGCTAGAAAACCAACTTACCCCGTAACTGCCGTAATGCGCAGTTCTTCATGTCTTGATGAAGCGCGTAGAAAGTGTTCGCAATGCCGCATATATTGCCGTTCAAGTTTTCTATTTATTTTTTACCCTTGGACGCTGCTGCAGCCTACAGCCGGGCACTGCCTTGCCTCACTGCACCAAAAATGTTTTTTTTTTGGGGGGGGGGGGGGGGGGACAAGTCCACTGTATAGCGAGGGAGTAACAGCGCGAACACACACCCACAAGAGAGACACCGTCCTCATCGACCCTCTTGTAGGTGCTGTTTCCTCGAGAATGCTGGTAAAGAAGAAAATTCGTGAGACGATATCAGTCACGGACAGAACTATAGCTGCGTTAAAAACGGTTGCGTGTGATGAAGCTCACTACGCGAGTTTTCATGAGTGGTTCAATGGCAGATTATACATCTGGCATATGGGCCCAAGGCGCCGTGGACGGGGCTTGCGATCGCTGGATCCATGGCCGTACCACTCTTGAAGATGGCGGGAAATTCAAAGTGCTTGCAATTCTCGCGCGCAGGGTTCAAACACCGACTGGCTGGCTGTGATTGAGACTTGCACGACTGATAAATATATATACCGTGTTGAAATATCTTCTGTACACACATGCAGATATGCGTGAAACATGCAGTTTTACAAGCATGTAAGTGAAGCGGCCCTGTCGAAGCTTCGCGCTTATGCATTTCGCTCTATCAACTTCCTGGGCACCATTGTGCGACACACCGTTGAGCGACTCTTCTGCAGACTGCAGACGTCGATTTCCCCGTGCTTCGCCTGCGACCGAAGCGCTGTGTATCGATCGAGAGACACTGTACGAGCTGCAAAGCGGGTTACGGCGCATCCTGGAATAGCTGCGTACAGGATTGGGTGTTGAAAGGGAATAAAATATATTTTGGCTCATCGCTCGTGTCTGGTCTGCGCAGCACTGCTGGAAGGTGTGGCGCGCCAAACGCTTTAAATAAATAATAAAAAAGTTACGCAGTCGTGCACAGATGTGCACAATATGCGGCGCCAGCTTCGTACGCAAACCTGGAAGTTAATGTGTGGCGCAACAAAAATGTGGATAATCGCAGCACTAAATAAGAATCAACCAATTGCCGCGTTGAGATTTCAAAAAAAAAAAAAAAACGGCCTATGTTATCGTTGAAACTGAAGCAGCGCAGCTAGCGGACTACCATAATGACGTCTGTACGCTACAACGATTGCTGTGGTGTTAGTTCTACATTGGTTAGCGGGCTGAAATCCCAAGCGAAGCCGCCAACACAAACGAACGCTCGTTCACTGTGAGCGTCGCGTTGGAGTATAACAGCTGCGTTCTTTCCCGCTTTTCCGCAAGATTCCGCAAAAATTAGCTCAAGTATCAGGTGTAATAGGTCGAATTCGGTATTCGGTTTTTAAAAAATGAAGCTTTTTTTTATATCATTCACTTCTTAAAACTATTGCCCATTGGTGTGGGGTACGACGACGGCTACTAATGTTGAGCATACCACAAACAGGTATGCTCATAAGATATACCTGTTTTACAAAAAAAAAAAATGTATTAGGCTTATATTTAATGCTCATTTTGTCGCATCCACTAGACCCTTATTTTGTTTAGAGAAAATTTATTGCCACAAACGTCAATAACGCTCAACAGAACATTTCCTTCTTAGACATACTCTAACGATGATGACAAAACAGACGTCATTTACATGAACATGGATATGAGATGACGTTGAAAGAACATGTACATTCGATTTGTAGCTCAGGTATAATTAAGGTGCACCAGCCATATAGTTATGCATTAAGCCGAAAATTCAGATAGGAAACTCTTAGGCACATGAAGAAATCTCAGTATGCTAGCCAACCTGCGTGCACGAAATCGAAACTACCCCGCCCGTCATGGTGAGAAATGGGACATTGACGTAACACGGTTAAACTGAAACAAACAGCGTTTATCTCACACTCTTCCAGCCCTTTTAAGTCACTGTGACCTGAAAGGTTTTGGCTTGCTCATTAACTGTTCATACCACAACGTCCATGAATTATTTTTGCAAATGTATAACACTTGATATTCAAAAACAACAGTGCATTAAGTTATACATTTTTTTCTCTCAGTCACAAAATAAAACTCTTAGATATACATTTTTTTATTACATGTAGGTACTGCTGTGATTACGATCTATATAGTGCATAATGTTGCAATGTATGTCTTTTTTATGTAGCGAATTATGTGCCTTATATTTTGTGTCTGGATGACAATCGCGTTATCATGTTTATTTTATGCAGTGTAACAATTTCACTTTCAATCAGCAGTTCATATATGTACTGAATCATAACTACAATACATACACATGGTTGTGGCGTGCTACATCTCCATGTTTATTGTGGTGCTGCTACTGCTCTGACATTTTACTTTGTATTTATTTTTTCTGTTTTTTTTTGTATGGGGCTGTAAACTAGTCAAGCTATTTTAAAATACAGCTTATTTTCACAGTCCTTTCTTTCTGTACTACAGAACAGAAAATAAACCATGATTTGATTTTGATTTGATACAGATTGGTCAGGTTTGAACATTCTGTTAAAATTACCTGTGGTTGCTCTTACAACATTTCAAAATGACGACATGCTCTGCTTTGGAAGGGTTCCAATTCTCCCATTTGAACCAAATGCCTGTCTTTACTTTTTATAAATAAGTTGATCAATTTAGTTTCTTTAACTACTGTCACAGTCAGTATCTCTATTCATCATAAAATTTCTGCTGCTATGGAAAAAGTAACCATGATAGAAGTGAGCAACTATTTCATTCCCTTATTTTGGAGGATTTTCAAACGCATTTAATGAAACACCGGTTGAAACACCACGAAAGTCCTGGCTCCGCCCATGCTGTATATCTAAACTGCCAACACTGATTCGTACTCTCCCAGGTTATGTTGTACATGTTGACTTTCTGCATTTTCCTTGCAGCGCTGGCCACTTCGCAGAAGGTCTGTGCCTACTCACGCCAGTCTTCGGTGCGCCTGCAACCATCTAAGGCAGACACCGACGGGCACAAAGACCAGGAGCCTGCCAGCCAAGATGACCACGACGCCGGGCGGAGCAGCGGTGACGAGCATCAGCAACATCGGCAGCAGCAGAAACAGCATCAGCAGTACACGGACCACGAGCAGAATCTGGCCACAGGGGAACTCCTGGACTCCAACACGACCGAGCGGTGCCCGCGAGGCTCCAACTTCTGCTACACGCTCTGGCAGGAGGATCCCACAAACAAGACGACGCAGATTATCCTCACTCAAGGTAAGCATGCACACTAGCGAATGAACAAGCCTGCAAATGCATCTCTCGTGAGTGACGTGCCGAGTCTACTGGCACACACTAACAAATTCGGAAAATTAAGCTTAAAACTCTCTCATGACCGTTACTTCTGAATTCAAATAAGGTAGAAGTTCATGGGAGGATCCTTGGAACACGAGCTGGCGCTGGAGCCAAGGTTTTAAAAAGAAAGCTTGTTCAAATGTTGGCTTTAGCAACACACCATGGACTTTTCGTTGCTTGTACTGTGTCCAACATGTAGGGTGTTTCAGCAGATATGTTTGAAGTCCTTTGAAAACAGAAATGATTAGATTAATTAAGCAACATATGCAAGATACTGTTTACTGCTGAGGTAGTCATGTGTTAAAATAACTACAGGTTAAGATTCAATGGCCAATTATGAAAATTGGACCTGGGTTTCTGGACAAGACAGCTAGAGCAGGGATCCTAACTCTAGGATTAAAGTGCGTGTCATCCGAGAAGCTCACAACCAATTCTGTACATGCCAAAAACTTATGCACTCTAATGAGTGATGGCAGCATTTTCACTGAAAATTGAAAGTGAAGTGAGAAATAACATAACTATCACATTCTTAGAGTAGACGACTGCAAGCAGTCTGACTATTTACTATTTACTGTCATGTAAAAATTAAGCAAGTGTCCATATTAGGCTGTGCCATGGCTCACTGTATGTTTCACTGTATGGCTCACTAAAGCACACTGTATGTTCTCGAATAGCTCTCGCTCACAGCACAAAATGAATATATGTGTACCTTCCAGAAAAATAATTAAAAGCACAGTACATTTTGCCATAATCTTGTAGGTGGATATCAGGAACCAGGTTATAGTCTCATGACATCTGCTAGCTTCAGCACCATCTTTTCTTTCTGCATGTGTAACCTATGCCTATGATTAATTAGAATGTTTACACTAATTTAATCAGCGTTACTATTTGTTTATGACCACACAGTTTGATTGATTTATGATGTATACTGGCCGTACTAGGGCTCCACCATGACATAACCTCCTTATCTGTGTTGCACGATATTGAGAAATATATTTAGCACACCCCCTGAGTAGCTGGTGTACTAAACGGTCACAGCATTCTGTTTTCTCATTATCTAATCAACTATTCAGTGTTCTCTATTTCTCTTTTGCATAAGATCACCCATAGCAGCAGTTAACAGGTGGCGTTTTGATGGATTTGCTTGATGAATGCTTATTTACACCTGCACAAATGATTCAACGATAATCAAATTGAATCTTGGATGTTGTATCAGATGTTGACCATCAAAACATTAACTGTATGCACGTGTATATACATGCGCACACGTCAAAACTTGTAGCTTAAGACATCAATGTTTACTGCTAAACTTGTAGCCAGTGTTACTGACAAAGGTCATGTCTCTGCATTGGCAGGTTGCTGGGGCTCATCAGGTGAAGTGGACTGCAAGTCCTCCAACTGCATCTCTACCAAAAAGCCTTCCAAGGCTCTGAACAACACAAAGTTCTGTTGCTGCCTGGGAGACTTCTGCAATGTCAACGTCACCGATGGTTACATTCCAACTGATGATGACAGCACAGAAATATATCCTCGTAAGTTTGTGCTTGTTATACATTCTTTGGGATCAGTGCAAAATAAGAAAAAGATGAGCATGTTTTTTGCAATTGTTGTTAGTGAGGTTGGTAATGTAGGAGGTATAGATACATGACCATAAAAGGAGTACAAAAAAGAAGATTAAAAAAATGAAGGGGGGAACAGGCAAAATCTCTTAGTCATCGTTCTCCTCTCGTTGATTGATTGATTGATATATGGGGTTTAATGTCCCAAAACCACCTTTCCCTTTTAGAGAAATTTTCTTACGATAGATTAATTACTATAAGGTTGCCTTTTGTTTATTTTAATATTAAGCATTATGTCATTATCAGAAAGCAAAAATATTTGTATGTGGCTTTTTTCTTCTTCTTCAATTATCATATTGACAACACGCTAGTTTCCAAGTACTTGAAAAGCTGTCATTTTGCACAATTTGTGGTTATTATTAATTTGTTTATACTGCTGATCTTGTCAGGGATCATTGCAGAAAGGACATGTTCACATATGACAACTTAACAAAACACATATAAAATTTATTTATACAAAAAGCATATGTACATATGTGTGCGTACATATGTGAAAACATATGTACACAAAAAACATATGTAAGTTAGCAAAGGATAACAATGAAACATAATACATTGTGATAACATTATGCTGTCGCTACTCTGTTTTCGCATGAAACACTCATCGGGACGCTTACATTGCAGCCGAGCAGTACCGTGCGGAACCGAGAGGCCAGACAGTGGTGCTTCTGATAGTGGGGTGCCTGCTGCTCCTGGCAATCACGGTAGGCCTGGTGGTGCTCTACTGGCGTTGCGCAGTTACCAAAGCCCAAGCCAGGCCTTGATTCGGCCCACCTCATGGAGGCACCCCAGCTGCAGTCACCAATGCTGGACCTGGACAGCCTCAAAATACAGGCACGCTAGCCTTGTTAACCAGCTATACTCGCTTACAACTTCAAGGGACCTTGCAGCACTTTTTCAGCATGGCCGGAAAAATGCTGCGGATCGGCAGTCGAAGTCCCTGAAAACATGTGACCCAAACATATTATCGTAGCACATGTCGTGGAATTTACAATTAACTCTCGAAGTAAGCTAAAAATGGATACTGTTTCTATGTAGAAATGATACCATGTACCCATATGACCTCGCCATATATACCCAAATTCGCAGCCATTGGCTGATTTGGGCATTTGTGAGCTACATAATTCACGCACTTTATCTGCTTGCGGAGTTTTTGCCTACAACGCCTACTTTGAAAACTCTGCTCAGCTTCAAAGGTGATGTTTTCCAGCCAAAATACATTGTGAATTTCGTCGCACTGTATGTTATTTAGTTTACCAGAAAGAATGGGCGAATGGCCACATCACCTGCTGACGCAGCTAGGAGCAGTGGCGACATGCTGCCTGCGTGTTTTCTGCGCTGGCAGCAGCGAGGTCCCGCATCCCCCTTTGTTCGCGGCAAAATTGTGAGCAGGTATTGCTGTAAAACATAACCCTTGGAGCCGCAAACTAGCCGATACGGCAAATGACCAGCCCTTATTTCTTTGAATAATTTCAAGTTTCTTGCATCCCGCTTTTTGTATGTTCTGTTTATTCGAAAACACCCCTAATTAGAAGATTTCTCACGTTCCCAGTGACTTTATTAACGAGGTTTTGTTGTATGGGGCTGCAGGAAATCTCGCGGAGCTGATATGTGTGTACTCTACAGGCTACAATTGAAAGCGAGAGTTGCCACATTTTTCATTTCACAAAAACTTCACGTCTCGGAAAAACGAAAAAGATTTCGTGTCTTACAGATGGTCCATATTACTTACTGGTGCACGAAACATGCAAAGCGCTTAGTGCTCGTTTCTTGCTGACGTGTTAACACTGAGATTATCACAGCCCAACGAGAGAGTGTCTGCCTCCTCAAGAGGATGCCCCCGAATTCCGCTTGGTGGAACGACAGTTTATGGGCATTGTGAATATATGGACAATAACTGATAATACAAGATTTAGCTAGCCAGGCTGTCATTTCCGGAAAAGAGGCCCTGGCAAGCTCTGAGCTTTCAGCCTTTTTTTTTTTTTTTTCAATGCGGTGCATTCAATTCTTGTATGGGAGGGAAAAACAGTCTGAAGAAAAGAAGCAATAAAGTAAACTTAGTGTTGATGCACTCCACTGGGGCAGCAGACATGCTGTTCTTGCAGACTGCATTCCCTCTGATGTACGCTTTGATGTGGCTCCGTTACTGCAGGAAACCATAGGAAAAGGCCGGTATGGCTGCGTTTGCAAGGGCTCCCTGAACGACTGCACGGTGGCTGTGAAGATCTTTGCGCAGCACCACCATCACTACTTTGCCAACGAGAAGGACATATACAAGCTCTTTCATGGTGACCTTCCATTCCTTCCAAGGCTGATAGGTGAGTCAAGCGCTGCTTTCTGTGATCGCTAGTCACACTTCCCAGCGGATGATAGGCTCTGCAGGCAGGCCCTTGACTTTGCAATCTGTGAGTTCATGTATAAAGCTGGATTGCATTGAATTAAGCCGTGGGAGTAGATGGAAACCTTGTATGCATTTGTTTCCTTTAATTCTATTTTGATTCTACGTGGCTTATTCACTATGAATAGTGGAAATTATTCAGAAAAGAATCTTGACGATTATGTGAAGGAAAACGAAAGGACTCAAATAGAGAGGACTGATTGTCAAGTATATGTGCGACATGGAAACTTATAAGAAAATAAAAGTCACAGTTCAAACATACGGGTCAACACTTCAAGATTAGGCTTCGTGTAGACAGAAAATCTGTGCCATGTATAATACTGTCCTTGTAATGTCCATAGAAGGCCACAGCACAGAATTTGGGCAAAGTACATGGGCAGGCAAATGGTTTATCTTACTAAGTTACATCTTACCAAGTACACAGAGTGCTGTGTGTATGTGTGCGTCAAGTTGTGCTGGTCAAATTTAGCATGAAAGTAGTTGTGACAGAAAATGTTACAATGTTCTCCATTCCTTTAATTCTGCCACACTGTTCAAGCATTTTCTTGGCACAAAGGAGTTAACAGGTTAACAGCACATGCTAAATACTCTCATCTGTCAGGATAAGAACACAATGTCAATCTAGCACACCATATTAAAAAAAAAACAAAAGGGTGGCTGTTGAAGGTGTCGCTTAGCCAATGTCATAAAACAAAGCTGCTGAACAAACATCTGGTGCCTTGTGCTACTTTAATCAACTGAAACGTGTGGCTTAATTTGGAGTCATTTGAGAGTGCTTCATATATATCTTCAAATACTTTCATCTCCGAAGGTGCTGATGAGCGTACATGTCCTGACGGGAGGCGTGAGTGGATGCTGGTGCTGACACATGTCTCCAAAGGTTGCCTGCAGGAGCAACTGCGCAAGACCACTGTAGACTGGTCTGGCTTATGTCGGATGGCGCAGTCCATCACCAGAGCACTGGCCTACCTACACACTGAAGGTACACGTCGGCTCTCAAGTACATGCCATCTGTACCGAATTTTTGTAGATTTTACATACTAACTTGGGCATGTTTTATTAATCTCTTGTATGGCATGGGCTAACATTAGATTTCAGGGTAAAGAAATTGGCAGATCTCCACGTACAGTGGGAATCGATGATGTGCAAAGCACAAATTAGCAAGGTTGATATGTCACTTTAAAATTAACACAACATTACAAGGCGGACCTAAATTATGCCGCACATGACTTCTATGTCATGATTATCAAGTTTGGATGTGTCATTTACCTTCGTCGGTTTGTGTCACGTTACACCCAACTTCGTATACGTGATTCAAGGCTAGCGAAATGGCCGCGAGCGCACTATGAGCATGGCATGTAGTCATGTTCTTACATAACATGCATCTTATGATTATAATGTTTGCACCAGTCATATATCTTCGTCATCCATTAACGTCTCGTAATACCAAATTCGGTATATGTGAAGCTAGCGAAATTACCGCGAGCACACCATGAGCATGGCGTGTAGTCATGACTTACACGACATTCATGTCATGATTTCTACGTTAAGGTCTGTCACTTATGTTCGCCATGCAGTTATGTCATACCATACTAGTTTTGCAATATGTCACGTGAATGAAACCACCTGCAAGAGCAGCAAGACCATGAAGGGTAAATCATGACATTCATGACATACATGTCATGATTTTCATGTTATGACTACTCACTTATGGTCATCATACAGTCATGTTATGCCATACCAATTTGGTACCAATACCATTATCGAAACAGCCAGGAGAGCTAAAAGTCATAGGCGGCTAGATAGATAAATAGATGGACATATACTCTCAAAGTTGCGATAAGAAATGCTTTGCATTCAATAGAGAATAAATGTTAGAGAAGGAAAGGTAGGGAGGCCTACCAGTCCAAGATAAGCGGATTGCTACCGTACATGTGGAGACGGTTTGGAGATGGATCGAAGAATGAAGAGAGTTCCCTACATCACTTGGTATACCATCTGTTAATCGTCCCTTCTAGTGATTAAACCATGAAACTGTTCTAACACTTTATAATGTACTGCATTTACAAGTACACTCAAACTTCATAATGAAAAAGTTGTATTTTACATGAAAATTAGTTTCTTATAATTGAAAACTTGTTATCAAGGTATTTTTATTTAAAACTATCTATTGAAATACTATTCTTCATTTACTCCATTATAACCGATATGAGAATGAGAATAAACAGAGAATATGAGCATGAGAATAAACAATGCAACAAACATATAAATAAAGAAAGGAAAGAAAAACTCCTGATTATACAATAGCAGCTGTGCAATGATGGTGAACATAATACAATTTAGAGTGACGTTTAGCTCATACAATACTGAGTAATGTTTGACGGAAAATATTGTTATTAGTAATAGTGACGATGTCTTCGGGAAGGTGGTTCCAATCTACTGATGTACGAGGTATAAATGATTGAGAAAAACACTGGGAGGATAACCGCTGGTCGTTAAGGGTAACTAACTGGATTCCCAGAGAAGGCAAGCGGGTTAGGGGAAGACAGAAGGCTAGGTGGGCAGACGAGATTAAGAAGTTTGCGGGTATAAATTGGCAGCAGCAAGCACAGGACCGAGTTAACTGGAGGAACATGGGAGAGGCCTTTGTCCTGCAGTAGATGTAGTCAGGCTGATGATGATGATGATGATGATGACGAACCGATATTTCATTATATCATCCAGGTTCGTTATATTGAGGTTTGAGTGTACACGCTTTGGTTTTGAACCTTCTAAAATAGTTGCTTAAAGGGGCCCTGCATCACTTTTTGAGCATGATGAGAAAACATTGCCAATCGGTTGGAGAGGCTCGCGAGAATGTGCGAGCCAAATATTATAGCATGGCACATGGCCTGGAATTCACGATAAATTTTTAAAGTCAGCTAAAAATCACTTTCTCTTCTCTCGAAAAACGACGGAGTAAGCTCAAAAATCACTCGCAGAAGGCCCTCCATCAGCCATTGGCTGATTTGAACATCGCGTGCTCGGTCACTGCAGGAATCGCCGCAAGAGGCTGCGACTTGTCCACGCGTGTGCGCACGATCACACTACAAAAGCCACATATTCAAAAAAAAAAAGAAAAAAAAGATTGCTGAAAATCACGAGGCACGCGTGACATATTTTTCTTACCCATGTCACTCTCCCTGCTTAGCTTCCAGAGCTTTTATTGGACAAGAGAAGAAGGAATTCAATTGCAGCGTGCGGCAAACCTTTGTAACTCCGCTCATACTGGACGGATTCTTTAAGTTTAGCGGCGTTCAAATCGTGAGGCAATAAGCTTTTTACTGAATCCATTCCATGGTTACCTAATGATGTGTTTCAGGGCCTTTTAAAAGAATGCAAAAAAAGAAATGACAGTATTTCAAAGAGTGAATGAATGGATGATAGTCTTTCGTGCGTCTGTGCTTATAAAAGGCTTGTTTTTGTTTCCCAGTAGAGGCATGCCAGAATTCCCGGCAACTTATTCTGTCCTTGGACATATTTTAACTGACCGCACAACTACGCAGACACAAGACAAGAAGGAACAAACCGCAGCGCTTTAATAGACAGGTCTCTTCTTCTGTTGTGTCCGGGTAGTTGTGCGCTGAGTTAAAATATGTTCAAGTACTGTCACCAACTGGCCGAGCTTTCAGTCCTTAAACCTATTCTGTGTTGTTGCCATTGATAAAACAAACTATGAGAAAACAGCAGCACTGAATCAGAAAAATCAGTGAAATTGCCAATGTAAACATTGTGTTCATTCGGTCTTTCTTCTCTTTGCTTTCTAGAACCAAACAAGCCGTGCATAGCCCACCGTGATCTCACTTCACAGAATATCTTGGTTAAGGATGATGGAAGCTGCATGCTGTGTGATTTCGGCTTTGCCATTCGAATCTCTGGTTCCAAGTACATTCAGAATGGCGAAGAACAGCATGCAGAGACCAACTCACTTGCTGATGTAAGTGTGCTTATACATGCTTTGTGTGTAAAGCACTGCGCTTTGTTCCTTCACATGTTGAGTCTAATTAAACTCTCCTAAATGACTCTGTTTAGGCTGCCAAAATGAGATATACTTTGTGTATTAGTTAGGTTGACGTGCTAACATTACATATGTGATAGTTACATTCTTTTCCCTCCCAGCTGAATGCATGACGTATATGCTCACGCATTTCATGCCTTCATCTCACATTTGTTCTTTGGTGCATTGTCTTCATTGCACTACCACTTCATTTTGCGCCTACCACATTAAACATGTGCTCTTCCCCAACTAACTTACAGACGCACAACATATATACCAGAGCGATGCATTGTGCATAACGAGTGACAGGTCAAAAGCTTAGTGGCATACACCTCAAAAAAGGAGGTGTTATTCACTTGCCAGATAGTCACCACGAAGCTTTAATTTTGTGGTGCGTTCCACGCTATTGTACTTCTTAGCTTGTCGTGGTTCAGCCGGTGATAGTTACTGGTATGCCATTTTTTATGCAACAGAATCGCTTTAATCGACAGAGGCGCTTTAAATGATAGTTATACCATTTTTTATGCACTGACACATTTTTGTTTCCCTGTAACTGAACTTGATACACTTTCTCTAAGTAGATAGTGCCCAGAATGCAACTGTGTGAAAAAAAAAAGGGTGCATTGTAACACGTAGACCACTGCATACTCTGTGTGTGTGTTTAACGTATTCATTGCCAAGCTTGATATCGTCTTGGAGGGTTTTCTAAGCATCTATATGCGTGCGCCACTTGCCACTGCCGTGATTCCCACCAGGCTGCATTAGTTTTCATGAATCCAGTCCCTGCTCCAGATGTTGCTGTTCTGGCTCCTGTCCCTGGCCGCATCAATGCTTGTCACCACATATAGTATTTCAATCATTGCATTCCCGCATGCCATTGTATTACTTAGCGTCACTGTCCATTTTCAGTGCATTACCATTTTTAACAAGTTACTGATGAGTGCAAAACATGCCTGCTGCATTTTGAATTTCATCTACACAGCTGCCAGTTTATTTACTGCTGGAATAAAGCTAAGCCTCTCTTTTAACCATGGAAAATTTGAAATTCTTTTTCTTCGAGAATTATGTTAGAGGGTAATAGAAACAAATGGTAGTGCACTTTTGAGCAAAAAGCATCCCCCACATCCTTGAACCATCGCTGATCATAGCAAATTATTATGAGCTAGATCAGCTTAAAATATGACATGTAAGCCTCACTCTAGGTTGCACTGAGAGAGGACGAGTTTTAGTATGTGGCACCCAACAACATTGTCCTTGCTTTTGTTCTCCCACACTAAGGTTGGAACTCTAAGGTACATGGCACCAGAAGTGCTCGAAGGGGCAGTCAACTTGCGGGACTGCGAATCTTCACTCAAGCAGGTTGATGTCTACGCACTTGGCCTAGTCCTTTGGGAAATAGCTACCCGCTGCTCTGACCTCTATCAAGGTAACTATAATCAGTGTAACTGTGGGTTTAACTAAATGCTTGTGCATGCATACATATGCGATAGAGCATTACTACCAGACATAATTTTACATGTCGTACTGTGTTGGCTAAGGCTCACAAGCCTGTTACAGCGTCCTTGTGCATTGTAAAATCACTGCAAAGATTATGGAGCAGCTGCTGCAAAATTTGTTACAACAAAGGAAGATAGCATTGAGATGTCCATGTGCCAGTACCATTGGTTCTCTAGGGAAGAAACTTTTGGTTGTTTAGTTTCAAAATACAGTTTCAATTACAGCCGTAACAATGGGTGCATTTACATCAGTGGTTGGAGACGTTTCTAGCACTGTGCCAAGTGTACAGTTTTCTTGACTAGATTCACTTGCAATGACTTCACTCACTGAGCTGTTTCCCATTCACAAAGAATGATCTACCAACACAGTATAGCATATGTTTCCCTTTTGAACCTCTGCAGCATTTTCAAGGCCTAACGATTTACAACAGCAGCTGTTGTTTTTTGTCTGTAGTGTGGCGTTGTTTAAAACTTGTGTTTTATGGTGCTCACACCGATATATCATCAGTGACCTTACTTGCATTGTTTGGAGCCTGGTTCTTTGAAATGTTGAGCATTGTAGCAAAGAAACTAATTGTCTATCTTTTGTGCCTTCCCATAGAGTTGTGTATAAATCAGGTAATCGAGAAATGCACTGGATACAATCAACCCCTATACATAGCTTTCATAGATTATGAAAAGGCGTTTGACTCAGTCGAGACATCAGCGGTAATGCAGGCACTACGGAATCAAGGCATTGAAGAACCTTACATAATTGATTGATATGTGGGGTTTAACGTCCCAAAACCGTGATATAATTATCAGAGACGCCGTAGTGGAGGGCTTCGGAAATTTTGACCACCTGGGGTTTTTCAACGTGCACTCAAATCTGAGCACACGGGCCTGCAACATTTCCGCCTCCATCGGAAATGCAGCCGCCACAGCCGGGATTCGATTCCGCGACCTGCGGGTTAGCAGCCGAGTACCTTAGCCATTAGACCTACCGCGGCGGGGCAAGAACCTTACATAAACATACTGGAAGAAGTCTACAGAGGATCCACAGCCACCATAGTTCTCCATGAAAAAAAAGCGAAGAGAATCCCAATAAAGAAGGGTGTAAGGCAGCGAGACACAATCTCTCCAATGCTATTCACCGCGTGTTTACAGGAAGATATTGAGGACCCTAGACTGGGAAGAGTTGGGAATAAGAGTTAATGAAGAGTACTTTAGTAACCTTGCAATTCACTGATGACATTGCCTTGATGAGTAACTCAGGGGACGAATTACAGTTCATGATTACTGAACTGGACACAAGCAGAAAAGTAGGTCTGAAATTAATATGCCCAAAATTAAAGTAATGTGCAACAGTCTCAGCAGAAAACAGCACTTTGTGATATGTGGAGCGACGCTGGAAGCTGTAAAGGAATATGCCTACTTAGGCTAGGTAGCAACCAGCGGAAGCGAACCCCGAAATTGAAGTAACTAGAATGATAAGAATGGGATGGAGCACATTTGGCAGGCACTCTCAAATCATGACTGGTAGATTGCCACTATCCCTCAAGAGGAAGGTATATAACGGCTTAATATTGCCGGTACTTATGGAGCAGAACCACGGAGACTTACAAAGAGGGTTCACCTTAAATTGAGGACGACGCAGCGAGCGATGGAAAGGAAAATTATAGGTATAACCTTAAGAGACAAGAAGAGAAAAGAGTGGGTCAGGGAACAAACTGGTGTTAAGGATATCATAGCTGAAATCAAGAAAAAGAAATGGACATGGGCCGCACACGTAGCGCATAGGCAGGATAACCAGTGGTCATTAAGGGTAACTGACTGGATACCCAGAGAAGGCAAACACACGAAGGGGAGACTGAAAGTTAGGTGGGCCGATGAGATTAAAAAGTTTGTGGGTATAACGTGGCAACAGAAAGCACAAGACCGGGTTAATTGGCAGATTATAGGAGAGGTCCTTTGCCCTGCAGTGGGCATAGTCAAGCTGGTGATGACGATGATAGAGTTGTATTGCACACACGCACTCTGTAAGGGAGGAGGTTGGAACACGAAAAATTGTCGTTCTTTTTCTGCAGGAATGAGCGTGCCAGACTACAAGATGCCATTCGAGGCCGAAGTTGGGGCCTACCCTAGTACTGACCAAATGCAAGTGCTGGTAGCCAGGCACAAAGCACGGCCACTTTTCCCTGACATCTGGAAAGACAGCAACCCGGTGAGTTTGACTGAAGGGAGGACTGAAGAGGCATATCATCATATCTACCAAGATATGCCTCCCCACATCCCAGGCTGTGTTGAGCTCTTCTAGCAATGGCCTTGTCGCAGCTATCATTGCTCACTGGCCAAATGACTCTTGGCAATAGGTTTACTTTAGTTGCAGTGTTGCAGTTGTGCATGAGTCTTCAATAAACATTGTGGGCACCAGAATTTTTCAATACGTTGCTTGTAAAAGCAGACTTACACACATTTGATGATTCAAAAGTGGCCCTTGCTTGCATTACTCTTTCTTTTCTACATTCCTTTTGTCAGCTCATCTCTCCTCCTAGCCAAGTGCTCCTCCTCACCATGCGAAGAGGAAGAGTGGCAAGTGTGCATATCTGCAAGGAGACAAACAGGCTTTTTTATTGTTTCTAGCATGACCAGACGTGAGTGGTAATGTCATGGCCAACACTGAGGATACCAAAACACCTGGAGAGGACTAGAGAATAGGGAGTTTTTCAATAGAGGCCCCAATCGCTTTGGTCCTTTAACGAAATAGCGTTGAGGTCACTGCAAGTGCGCATAACCCAAACAGGGTTTCGGTCTTGGGTTGGGGGCGCTATTTGTCAAATTTAGCCGGAGTCCCGAAGCTCGCCCCAAAAGCTTTGCGTCAGACATACGTGACGGCACCCACAGACCCTATTCGAGAACTCTTAGCTCCTGTTTGACACAAAGCGAGTACATGCAATGGGCTTCGGTGCCTAAAACTTATAGGGCTCCTGTTCGAAAACTTCCTATCGCATATCTATTTTGATTTCGTGATGCACCCGTGGCACGTAGCACTGCTGTGTTTGGCATCGTTAATTGTGATTGCATTCTGAACTCGATCCAGGCGTTTGTTTGAAATGTTAAAAAACTTTTGGGAAAGTATAAGGGTCCTTTAAGGCCGACCGTAAACAGATTTCTGAATGTTTAAAACAAAAAAAAGTCTAATTTTGGCAAAGGCAGTCAGAGCAGTTTCATCACAAAATTTTCTCTCCTAAAAAAAAAAATATTTGTGCTGCATGAAGCTTATAAAAACAGACATTTTCAGTACCAAAACTGAAAAAAAAAAAAAACTGCTTGCTGGAAATAACACAGAAACCAGAACAATGCAAACCATTGCAGCTCTTTGGCCCGATCTCGATAATTGTGTGGTGGCCACAGTACTCTGAAAACCTTGCAGGTAATTCAGTTGTGTTCGCATGACACCCACTAATCACTATGCGTGTGCACGTCTGCTTAAGCGGTATTAAAAAGCAGTTATAAGAAATTCCGGCAATTAACAACCCTGCAGGAATAAAATATTTTATTTTGATTACTCATCACAGATGCAGACCAGTTCAAGTGGCCAGACCCATTGCTTTATTTTGCATGGTTCTATATCCCTGCTGCTCTGCCATTAATTAACTCAATTAAAATTTTGCTGTCAATCTAAGAGACTTTATGATTATCAGCCCTTAATATGGCATGCATTACAAAAAGCACATGTAGAGGCGAAAAAAAGCTGACCAGTAATATTCTCTCTTAGCAATTATAACATTTGGTTCTGACATTACTTAATGGATTACATAAAAACTTGGGTAGGATTTGTTCGTGCTACTGCTAGTATGCTTGTAAGCATCCTAAATGTCTATCACCTATCGATGAGTGTTTCCCGTTTCTAATTACGCATACATTTTACAAACATTGTTACTTACATGCCCTGTTTCTTATGTTCAGGCTGTTCGTGCGCTCAAAGAGACGATAGAAGACTGCTGGGACCACGATGCTGAAGCCCGACTGACGGCAGTTTGTGTAGAGGAGCGTCTCGCTGAACTTCCTGTGTTATGGGAAAGGCACAAAGGTCAGTTGAGCAAACATCCCATCGAAATGTGCCTAACATGCAGCGTTGGTAATCTGACGCTCATCGTGGGACAGCTTATGTCAGTAGCATTTCCAAATTCTCTGGACTATATGGCCCACTCATAATACGGCCAAGGGCTTCCACAGACCTTTTTGTAGGAAGGTTCATCCAGCACAAGCAGCCTTTCTTTTCATTGCCATGATGTGATCAGCGAGATTAGCCAATAGCGTGTGACATGTAACGTTGACAGGCAATCGTGAAGGCCATTTCAAATGGACATGTAGGGCATCACTGTGCTAATCACACTGTGCAGTGTATTTTCGACTACATAGAAAAATGTCCGAAATTCCAGAAGGAGGGGGCATGGTGAGTGTTCTCCATTTAGCACCTTGCCTTTCACATTGGCCTCCACCCTCTGGACGTTCATTAGTGGGGCATATCAACCCAAGAAATCATTTCGGCAAGAACAAGTACCCTTGAATATAATTGATCAGTCATGCAAAGTCTTGTGGATGAGTGAATGCAGTTTTGGCTTGACCCTGTTCGTGCGCATCCTTGTGTTCTCATTTGTGCACGTGCACTTGCAGCTGGCCTTAGTGTGGCAGGAGTGAGCCCAACGATCAATGCCACTTGGCCTCAACAGCCACGGGGACCTCCATTGTGCCTTCTTGGGGGTGGCCTCTCTGCGACTGTGGCATTGCAGAGGGACGCGGAGTGCAGTGAAACCACCACCGAGACGCTGCTCTCGCCCAGCCTCTCATCGGATGGCGGACAGCCCAAGAACAGCATCACAAACAACGTGGTGCACCTTCCCAGCATGCAACTACAACCGCACCAGGGCAGGAACCCGTGTCTCGAGCGGAACCTCATGATGGAGCCTGCGGAGGAGGTATGTGCCCTCCAGGAAACTGATTGCGAATACCTCTTTTTTTTCAATGCTATGTACTGCATTTATCTTCCTCTCTTATTACAAATAAACCTCGTTATAACAAATCTAGATTTAGCAAAACATTGGTTATAATAAAGTAAATGAAGAATAGTTTTATAATAGATATAGTGTGAGGATTATACCTTTTGACGAGCTTTTGATATAACTGGCTTATCTTTGTGTAAGATACCATTTTACTATAATGAGGTTTGTGTTTATCACAGAATTGTGTTTTTAAAGCTTCTGCTTTATTAACACAATCTGTTTATGTAATTGCATATTTACTTAGATGGCCCACTAGCCAGGGCCATGGGTCTAACCAGTGTTGTGTATTAAATGGAATAAACCATCGTAACTTAATGACCCATCGTAACTTAAGAGACGATGATGATACGATTTGGGGTAGGTGCAAACAATGGTGCATTTGAGAATACAACTTGAATAGTTTTCAGTTTTGTAGTCTATTCAACTTCACTGATTGATAGAGAATGAGAGACTTACAGTTTGCATTGCCCGCACTGCGCACCGATTCTCTTTGCCAGGTGGCCATCAGTGGCAACACACTGCTCGAACAGGACACGGCTTAATCGAAGCAAGGGGCTGCCCTCTTACACCCAACTCAACGAGATATCCACAACACCCATCACTGCCACAGCCGAAGACAACAGTGTAGCATTAGCACTCGGAGATCTGCTGGCAGGATCTACGCGCACCTGCCACCCGATCCCCTATGTGCAAAACGCAGTCCACGTCTCCACTGTCATACCCAAGCAGCCCAACCTGCCAGGTAGGTGGTGCAGAACAAGTTCTTTCTGTAGCTAGGCCTGCTGTGTCCTTTGCAATGTATGACCTCAAGATGACAAAAGTGCATCTTATTTGCCGTTTACTTAAGCCACGTGTGGAAGTAGAGAGATGGTGGTCTTGTGTGGTGAAAGTTGTCTAGTCATTTAGCACCAGGGAAAGGCAGTGTTTCAGTGAGCCATTGGATCTCACGCAGAGCAAGTGGTCAAAACATTTATGACAGAACAGGACAAGAAGGAACACACAGAAGGACTTTGTGTATGTTTGTGTGTGCATCCTGTACCTTCATAAGAGTTTTGTGCTTAACGCTGAACAACAAAACGTTGAGGGCCCCTAAAGCTTCACCTTTGATAGCTGAATGCAATAGCGATATTCTGTTCTTAATGCGTACTTAAAACACTTAGTGCAGGAAACCTTTTCAAACTTGCTATCCACCCACTACGTGTCCTTAAGGAACAGACGCAGTAGCGTGTGTGCCTTTTGTGGTGGGCTACTGGCTTTAAACCAAGAATCCATTATGATAATCACATGTCCTGATGCCAGATGCCATTGTGTGCTTGTACCACACATTACCACTGCAATATTTCATGTTGTATTGTGAAGCATGTATACAGGACGCGTGTGTTTGTAAAGCATGTGTTACTTGCACTGGATTTCCAAGCAGATAAGTATTTTTACTGTATTCACAAGCAGACACATGATCATGTGATACAACATCCGCTTGCCACGCAAACGACCTGGTTTCAATCCTCACTCTGACCCAGGATTTTTTAATTTTATTTGCATTGTTCTCAATTTTTCTGTCGCACACAAGGTGATGATTTCTCGCTCTCAACCAATGATGCTGACGCTGGAATTTCTGCGAAACGAGCTCTTTAACGCTATCGCGTTAAAAGTCGCACCAGCAGGGCCTCCAATATACCCTTGCTAGACAGACAAACTGTTGGCATTGCAGTGTGCCTTGGTGTGTATAAATCACGATCGTGGTTGTAGTCCCCTGAGGCTTGCATCCTGATTGGCTGAAGAGGCAATAAAGAATGGCCAGGTTAAACTACATTGGTAAGCATCAGTGCACTGATCATGAATGACAGTGATCTCAAATGCCATCGGTTATGTAACATCTGCTTGAATTAGTATGTCAAGTTGATCGGCATCAGAAGATGATGTTAGACGACGGACACATGTCAGTTACGGAGGGTGCTACAGCTTTCAATATATTTCCCGTGTTGTCTCACTTCCTTGCAAGCAATATCTGTTTTTAAAGCAACATCCATTTCTAAACAAGCACCGGTGAAACTGCTCGCATTTCTCACGTTAATGGAAAGTGTCCCGTTGTATCAATGCTGTGAACCTGTATTTCTGGACGCAGGCAATGGGCACAAACTGCCGGCCACTGCCAAGAAGCCTTCTGAGAGACAGAATCACCATTCCGTTTGTAAACATATTCCGTAAAAGTAGCACCAAGGCCTCCAACAGTGCCAGCAATGTCGAGAGCAGACCGCAGCGGCGTGGTCTGCGATGTCTGTTTGGCCGCCGGTCGTGCGACAGTAATGGCCAGGCAGCAATGGTGACAGTTCGCAAAGACCAGGGCGCAGTGCGCTCTGATCAAGTGAACACTGCTGGCTGGGCGGACAAGCTGCCGGTCAACACAGAGGTGCAGATGATGGTGGACAGGGCCTGCCGGGTCAGGCCTGTGTCTGCAGACACCGAGACGTCTCCGCTCCTTCAGAGCAAGGACATCAACGACAACTGCAGAGCGGGTGAGGAGGAGGGCAGGCTCCCGCGACCCACCACGTTACCTCTGCGGGCGTACCTGCAGCCCAAGGGTGCCGCTACAGCAGACTCAAACTGTGCCGCTGCCTGCCGACCACTGTCACCGGTGCGGACAGGTAGCGAGCAGCAGGCAAAACCAATCGCGCCACAGCCGCAGCAGTTGTGCAATAGAGACGCCTGACAGTCCACCTCGTAGATGTGCAGGCTCCGTCGCTTTCTTGTAAAAATCACACATGACATTCAATCGCATCTCAACAAAGCTCTATTGAATACGATGGGAACGATACAAAATTTCTCTAATGGCTTGTGCAAAGACACATACACTGCTGATAACGTTGCACTTGCCGTTTCACCAAGCCTTGGCGCGGCACCCCCACTGCACGTAATGCATTGGTTGATTTTGGGAAGCTTTTTTCCCCCTTGTGATTGAGAGTGCTAGCCTTCGTTTATGTTGCTTTGCAGTGGGATCAAATGTTCTGGTATATTCGAGACAAATCTGTTGGGTCACACCTGTAGAATGCAGATTCTTGCTGCACCAAGTCATCTTAATTTATTTGTGACTGTGCTGTAAGATCCCAATTGTAATTAAGAAGTTATCTCTCAAAATTATGACACGTCAGATTTGGCTTCAAGATTGTATACTGGTGCATACCTGCTGGCCTGTAAGCACGGAAAAAATTCACTTTGTACGCCTGGGGTAGGATAGAGTTTTTGTGCACCCTTAGATGCAGCACATGCCAAAAAACTCACTACAAGAAGTACTGGTAAGCAAATTGATACAACAATTTTAAATCATGGCAACAATGCCACAAAGTTCATTTGCTTTAAGGAACTTTCTGGATACTTGTTTTTTGTTATATGTGGGATGATATTATATGAAGCTTTGACAGCACATTCTCAACTGCTGGGAAGTGGAAACTTGCTCTTAAAGGGGTCCTGAAGCACTTTTTTAAATAATCATTGAACGACCTCACTGCTAGAGATCGTTGCCTCACAATTAAATGGCTCGAAAATCTTTCCAAGTACATCTAGAACATTTGTAAGTCTTGATGGATTGGAAGCTGCCAGCATAAAGCCAATGGTGAAAGCTATGAAGAGAGCGAGGATGAAGTTCTGTATGAAGAAAGTGTAAACTTTGACCTCCACTTGTAAACTCTACATGCGATAAACGACTGCGAAATTTGACCGCGCTGTGCATAGCAGTGTTTGCTGTTTGTAGGATTTGCTTTTTCACCCGGCCTGAGGGGTGGTTCAGGACCCTTTTAGGTAGCACTGTTGTTTGCCAAAAGCGTATGACAAACGTTGTTCTTCTGTTACAAAAAAATATATGTTGGATGAGTCGTCCCTATTCAGTGTATATTCTCTTCCATTTTACAGTACTGGAACCAAATTTTTATGATTGCACACTTTCATAATTTATCCATTGCTGGTCTAACTTGATTTAGATCCAGTTGGTTTTGTTGCACTGCAGTACAATTTCTCACAGGGTTGATATTGTTTTGGCTAATTATATTTACATTTTCTGGGCAAGAACAGTGCAACTGTATAGGTTAACATTATTCCATTTATTGTGTGGCTCATTCAGTGACTGACTGTTTTCAGGTAGTGCGCACTGAAGTGATGAAATGATCAGGTCTCCAGACCTTAGCCATATTGAAGACAAGAGGAGCAACCTCATTTGCCAAAGTAAAGTCTCAGACCTTGATCTGCCCGAGGTTTGCAATGAAATCGTATCACTTCAAAGAAAAAAAAAAAACCAAACCTTACTTACTGAATTCTTATGCTGAAACAGCACAACGGCCCTTTCTTCAAATACCTCCTTGAAATGTAGCTTACGTACTCCATTCCATTGTGGGTAATGCTTCATTGTGAGTAATGCTTTTCCAGAAATGGTGCAGAACCAATATGTTGAGACAGAATCTGCCAGGCATGGAACTCGTGAGATAAGGAGGCGCACACAGCCAGTTTTTCTTACAATTTACTAAAGGGAACTCTGGCACTGCGATCATTCAGCCACCGTGGGAATGATCTGTCGTACACGGATTAGCCTAATATTTTTGCTGATGGCTTGGTACAGCACTTTTGGTTTTGTTTATTGTTGTGCACGGGTGTTTGTTTTGGATAAAGGAATGGATCCTTGGGAGCTTCTTGAGCTGATTTGAATTGGTGAGCCTAAAAAGGTTAAGGTGGTGAAATTTAACAGCTGAACATTGGCTGAACTCTGTATTTCAACAAAGTGGCTCCAACCCACACAGAGCCGCGCTGAAAGAATGAAGCTTAGACAAGTCCGTGTACCACCTGCCGATCATTCCTTGGCTGAAGTGCCATGTGTTGCAGCTTCCATAGACACCAGTGCTAGATTTCCCTCTATTGTATCATTAAAAAGCTATGGCACACATGGAACACTGGGAATCTCAGAGGCCATAGTCTGAAACATTTACTAATCACCAAGCACCCATGTAATCGTCCAAGATATTGTGTAGGGGGTGCTAAAAATAACAAGTCAATTGGTGGCACTTGCAGCTTCACCGAAATTGCTTTGGTTGATATATACTGCTGCTCATCGACAACCGATTTCATGAACTTTAGATTTCGCAGTGATTGGCCTTTAAATATTGAATGACTGTTTCCGAGTGGAATTCAATTTACGGCCACATCGGTAGCACGAGAGTAGGGCCGTGTAGAACGCATTGGAATTCTTACTCAAGTAAACTCAACCTTTTGTTTTGGTGCGCACATGGCTGCTGAAAAGTTCAAGCACGTTGCCATTCTATATGAGAAGCACACGTCTCCTCTTTCATCCACTGATCAGATAAATTCCCAAAAAGTGATGCTGAGAGTGATCAGTGCTTTCACCGTATTTTCTGTAGTTGCCGCTGTCCTTCCATCATCATCGTCATAGTACACCACTCCTTCACAAGTCATTCTGAAACGTAGAACACCATGGTAGCTTTTGCTGTCTGTGGCTTTGGATATGTAGACTTGCTAGAATATACAATCACTGGCCACATCTGCCATGCTGTATTTTCGTTTCACCCTTTGTGTGCATAGACCCTTCGTTGTAATACGTACTTAGGCAAAAAAATGGAAACGCGAATCTTTCCATCCATGTAACTGTAAGCTAAAGGACCAGGTGTGGCACGCACTTATGCTTTCAAGTGAAGCATAATGAAAGTAGGACTGGGCATTCCTGTACAGTGGGTCAGACTTTGTTTGGAAAAAGGGGATAGCGATTGCTCCTGCATATCAATTAAGTATAGAAATTTGCGCACCTTTAGTGTAGCTATGATAGCAAGTAACGCTTCGTGTACCTAAGATGACAGTACTGTAAGCAGCCCAATGGTTCGACATGGCACACAATGAAGAAATGGTATGTCATGCAAGTTGTCTGCACATAACATTCTGAGGCAGAGAAGTACGTTGTTTCAGATTTCACTTTTGGTTCGGTTAGACGCCCAAGTTGTGTGTGTCTATTGACCTTCCTATCACCTTAATCTTTTAAAATTACAATTCAATTTATTGCTGCCACCTTGAGCTTTATATGCTAAATTTGTACTCCCTAATGCATAGTTGCGTGATCAGTCTGGAAATACCTGAAGAGATTCTTTAACAGGTAAATTTGGCACTCACTGAGTAAAGTATCATTGCAGCAAGAAAATGTTCACATTAGCAGCACAGGAAAGGGGTCGACAGTAGCCAAATCTAGTGTGGTGTCTGTATGCAATCGTCACAGAATTGTGAGGTTTTCTTCTGCAACTCAGGAAATCAACGAAAATGTCACTGCTGTAGTAAAATGTAGACTAGATAGCCACGATTAATAGAAACGCCTAGAACAGTGGATGACTACATGGCATTTCGAGTCAACCACTCAGCATTTTTTCCTGTCCTATTCTTTCTTTTTCCTGTCTCTGCGCTGTGAAGATCGTCATTAGTTTGCGTGCTTCAGGCCAGAAGCTTGTTTCATTTTAGGAATCTCTCCAGGTAGTTAGCACAATCATACATAATGACTACAGCATGTTCATGTGCAGACATTGACTATTCTAACTGGGTTGTGTGCGGTACATACACTCTTCGTCATTCTGAGCAGGGAATGTTCCTACTTTCGGTTTGAAAGGAGCTATCCAAGTTGTCCGTGGTCAAAAGTGATCTCTGCATCTACAGGGCGCTTTCCTGGTTATGTCACTATTGCTACGCTCTATGTCATGTGCTATAGTTTAAAAGCATTGAAGAGCCAATGTTTCTCTCTGGCACAAGTCTGGAAGGAATTCCTCGCTGGCGTTTTGGTAGTGATGGCAGTGGCGTCGTGTTTTTCATCGTGTAAATTAGTTGTGTAATGCCGAAAAAAAAAAAAACGGTATTGAAAAGAATGCCTTTGGTTCTCAAATCTTCCTGAATGGATTCACAAAAGGGAACAGTTGATCTAAGGCAGGAAGAAAGTCTCGAAGCTGTGATAACTCTGCTGAGGTTTTTGTTCTTCGAAACGAATTACCAACAAGAGATTGTGTGTGGTGAAAGAGTTGTGAATGGAATGCCATCTGTACTGCTAATGAAAGACTGTTGTTGCCAGCCATATATGGAGGACACATTGCCAACACCTGCTGGCTGGAGTGTGCTCCTTGGCACTAGTGTCATTGAAGCATGGTACTGCTGTACAGAGGGCGTGCCTTATGGAAAGCATGCATGTGTGACTGTGTGTTTATATACAGACCAATGGTACTGCTACAGTCATGGTTGTCACTGGAGTTGTGCCGTTTAGCGTGAACCAGCCTATAGTGCAGGTGGTGCCTCTTGATCCTTCCTGCCCCGTCATTAAATTAGAGGCAGGGAGATCCGAGAGAACTGGTGGCGTTGCTTCAGCAAATTAGTGAAAGATTGCCTTGAATGACTACCAACGCACGACCTGCACAACTGCTCGCCTTGTTGCATGCTCATACCTTGTGAATGTACTTTCAAGCAGGACTCTACTGATCAAGTGCTCTGTGCTAAGTGTTTGAGAGGAAAAAAGAGGAACAACAGAACCTGCACAACTGTGCGTGCAGTAAGATTTTTTAAAACCATGTCAGCAAAAGCTGAAATTCCTTTGGAGCTGAGGTGCTGTCACTGGATAGGACGATGGCAACATGTGACACAATCTTCGCCAGTGCTCTGTAACTTTTTGCAAGCTTGGCTTTTCCCTTTGTACATTTCTTGTTTAGCGTAAGTGCTTGTATGTGTGCAAGTTGGTAATTTTTTTTTCACCTATGACTGGTCCAGACAATTTAGTACTTCTAGGAAGGTTGAAATGCTGATGAAAATTCATAGCATAGTGTGCAGAAATGGGAAAGAAATTTGAGACATCTAGAGGTGTAAAGCTATACCTCTCTTTATGAAACACCACATGCGTAAATAAATGCATCTGTGGAACTTCAATTATGCAGACTTGCCTACATGAATAAATACATTTTATATAACTGCAAATGAATATATTGTGACTACCATTAGTGATTGTTAAAACAAAACACTTCAGAGAGCCTTAGATTTTCATAACTGAATTCAAAATATGTTTAACATGTGTGGTTCTGAAAAAGAAGAGACAAGAACACAATAATGAGGAACAGATACAGGCACCAAATTTTATCGTTCATACAATTTGCTACCCTCCCCGTTGGCACAATATTTATTCATAACACGTTGGTTAGATCAGCCAAAAATAATCAAGGTTTGCTGTTTGGATCATTTTCTGTAGGTGAAGAAAACTGGCTACAAATCGCTCTGCTTGCAGTTATTAATATAGGGTAACTAAAATCATGCAGAAGCATCCAGTAAGCAAAACTTGGTGCATGGATCAGCTTCTGGTTGTTAAAATGTTCCAAACCATGGACTCGCATCTTTTTCATGTTTTTCACAATTTGGTGAATAACCTTATGTGAGCAAGTTATTCAATGTCCAGTCTTTCCTGTTGCTATGTACAGAGAGTCAACAAGCAGCGAACTGTGCAGTTATTTTTTAACCAGCCTTACATTAACTGAGATGCTAAAACTAGGTCAGTGTTGATTGATTGATACGTGGGGTTTAATATCCCAAAATTGTCATATAATTATGAAAGACGCCGTGGAGGATTCCAGAAATTTCGACCACCTGGGGCTCTTTAGAGTTCATCCAAATCTGAGCACACGGGCCTACAGCATTTTTGCATCCATCGAAAATGCTGCCACCACAGTCCGGATTTGATCCCACGACCTGTAGTCAGTACCTTAGTCCACTAGACCACCACGGCGGGGCTTGTGGTGCCAGCCTTAGTTCACTTATTGTCTTACTATCCCATTTGCATTGCAAGTGTGCTATAATAGAACCAATAGAATTATTTGCACCAACCTTTCATAATTGGATCCTTTGACTGTATGGGTGAGAATCGTTCTGGCAAGTGATTCAGTGACTTCACAGTACTGATGAACACAGTAGCAATAGAAGTAAACCCACTTTCATGTATTACAAAGTGGTTGAAAGTGTCTTGTTAGATTAACAATTAAGCAGTGCCAGAATGAAATTGAAAATAACGATGTGAGAGTTTTGTCACACCTATAGCAAACAGCTTCTTGATGTTTCCTATTCCCCGTGTTATGTACAAGGCAGAGTGATAGCAGTGTACGGCGTTTGCTCACCAAAAAATGAGACTGAAGGAAGCCATAGCACAAGTTCTCGTATCGTTATATGTGATGATCATATGTGTTCAGGGTAAGGCCAAGTGATAGGGCGTGTAGCTTCCAAGAAAACACTACAGCTGTGCGTGCCTACTCGTTGTAGTACCAAGTTGCCATGGTGGCTCTGGTCTACAAGTGTGTGTAGGGGGGGGGCTTTCATGTTTTTTTTTTTGCGAAGCAGTGCGTTGAAAGGTGAAATGCTGCTTGTTTTTTTTTTTCTTTGAGCTCCATAGACTAGACCAAAATGATAAGGGAGGGCAAGAATAAAGTCATTTTTATGGTGCGAATGTAGGTACGAAAGTGAGCGAGAGAATCAAGTGTGTGTGCGTGCTTGCAAAATGTGATGGCATTGTTTGTTAGCGAGAGAGAAAGGACTTTGGTGCGTTGTTTGTATACAGTCTTGGAGACGGATTCAGAGAAGAAAGAGTTTACACATGTGCAGCGAGTTTCTCCGGTCTTCTGACATCCATCTGTGAACAACTTTGTTTTCAGTTCTTCAGATTTACTTTCGTTCCTTATGTCTGACAGCCATGTTTTTTAGCAACATGCAGCATGTATTGGTCTGTCTTGTATTGAAACCGCAACGCTTTTACTAAATGTGTTTGCTGCCGACAGAACGTGAATGCATTTGAAAAGCGCCAAACATTATTAATCAAGTGGCCATTTGAATACTTGCTATTGAAAAGAGGGACTTAATGGAACCATTGTTTTTTGTGTTTGTTTCTAAGATATTTTTTTAAGGAGCCCCTCAAGTAAACAAACTCCTGGTTAGTTTTTATTTATTTGTTGCTTCCTGTCAAAGTTAGAACATGCTGGTGCTGCGTTTTTGATCAATAAATTTTTTTTGCATGTTTGAATGCGTGTGGATTCATGTTTTACTGACCTGCTGCAGTGGCTAACTTTTTTGCAGAGAAAAGAGTATGACTTTAGGAGTGACTGCATTTCGATAGGAACAGAGAATAATGAAGGACCGTGTGCAGAGATTTAAAGGAATCCTAGTTGGTAAAACTGTTAGCTGGAGCCCTCGATTGCATTATTGTGCCTCTCACATCAATTCACTAAGAAATGTTACAGTTCAACAAGCCAACTGCTTTGGCAAAGCCTATTAATCTTGTCATCGTCATACAGATTCCTATTACAACTGCATTTGGTGAATACAATAAAAATCGATGAATATTCAAGACTGCTAAAGCAATGATATATCTCTCATTATTTTGCTGCATGACAGTTAGTTAATAATCAGAACTTTTAAGTATTTAAGAAGCACCAGGGAATATACAATATAACTGCAATTATTGGAGCCTGCAAGGAGAGAGATGTATGCATTTGGGACTCGCCTTCCTCGAGTGTCCACATCATTATGTAGAGGCATTCACAGCATGCGACAGAAACGCAGCAGTTAATGCACATGAGGTGGCGTCACGAAATAATGCGGATAATCGCTAAAACCCATCACCTTTGAATCGGGTTGATGAAAGTGGCACTCACTGCATAACCATTCTTCACTCTGCTACCTGCATCCAAAGGAATTTCACAAAAGATCATAATCTCTCTATCATTGACTTTGGCTCTTGCACTGATAACTTCTGCAGTTTATATAGGTTTAGCTTGATGTATTCAATCAGTTAAGCAATACTTTATATTTTAGTGCACTGACATACACAGCGGAAAGAAAGCTGCTTTTAGGACAATTCAACTGAATCACAGTTGTGCAATAAATTTCGGAACAGTTAGGCACATCACTAAAAAAAGAAAAGAGAGCAACAAATCATAAACCAGCATATTACGGAACAAAACACCACAAAATGAGAAAATGTATAGGCAATACATAGTTAAAATGATTTTGAATCAACAGATACTAATTTGTGCAATAAAAAATGAAACTGCACACAATATCAATGAAACTGTACACTGTGTGTAAAAGGAAAGAAGCACAAAATAGAATACCAGATGCCTATGTACAATTAATGAAGCAACTAGGTGCAAGGCTACCAGTGTGTCACTAATACATGCTTTGGAAAAAGTAGTACAAAGTAGTCGAAGTCTTGCAGCTGTGCTTTATTGTGCGTAATTTGTAGAGGTCCTTGTACTGTAGTGTACAGCGCATCCCAAAGGAATACGGTCGCGAGCGCGGGTTTGGCCTTAGCGAGCCGCAGGGCCGCGTTCATCGTTGCCTCGCGTAACTTAACGCCGCTGCACACGCGCGTTTGGACAGCCAAGGCATTGGGCGCAGCGTGGAAAGTGTGCAGTACTGCTCTCAAACAGGTCGCAACACTTTATTGCCTGCAGCAGACTAAAACAGAGTACAGCACCCGTTGAAAGGGGCGGCGGGTAAGCAAACGAGGCTTAGCCACGCCGCGGGTGAAAAGTACAACACAAAGGGTGTGGGAATTGAGGCTGGCCCGCTGCCTTTGCGCGGGCTTTGCCGCCTTTTCTGCCGTTTCCATGTCCCGACATGTCTGCCCTCCTTGCTGTCTGCCGCGCTGGGAAGGGCGGAGTGACGTATAACTCCCTCACCCGGTAGCGGATGTTGACTGTGGCGCCGCGCGCGGGGACCCCTGAGAGGTTTTCGCGCGCGGTGCGGTCAGGTACTCTCCGGGACAGCAAACGATGAGCCACGCGATCTTTCCCGTCCGTGGTCAGGAGACGGGCCATGACCGCAGCGCGCCCCATGCGCCGCGATAGCCCACCCTGCCAGGGTACGTTCACTTTGCGCGTTGCGACTGAAGTTGCTCCGCCGGAGGGTAGTCCCTTTGTCGGGCCTCCCTGGCTTGTATGCCGGGAGGCAGGCCGCGTCTGTTGGGCGCCTGGCGCCGAACGGTGGCCCCCTTGCCAGGGCATGGCCGTCTGCCCGAAACAAATCTTCCCCCCACACAGCCCTGGGGGGAGGGAGAGCCGGGACAGACGTAGGATGATGATGGGTTGATGAGTTAAGTGTGACTCTGGGACAAAGCGTTTCGGCGCCGCGTCTCCTTCCTATCTGACAACGGCTCCCGTCCGTCGTCTCCCGTCGCTCGGGGGCTCGTTGGACTTCGCTGACGGCGCCTCGCGCCCGAGGCGAACGCTCACCTTTTGTTGCCCCACTGCGTACTCACGGCCGAAGGGCAGTACGGTGTCCTAGTGCGTGGCCTAGCTACGCCGACCCGTCTCCGGGTGTGCGCACGTCCCAGTGAGCAAAAAGAATTCACAGTGACACGCCGCTGAGGGAAACAGGCTCTTGCGACTATGCTGCGTTGCTCTCACAATCAGAAACAACAGGGCCCGATCCCGCGAGTGAGGCCAAACTCCGCTCGGGTTGGCTTCGAGAGGTATGGGTCGGCATAGAAGGACCACGTGCGAAGACACCGCACCGCTTTTCGGCCTAGCGTTCAAAAGGGGGAACGAAAGGTAAGCGTTCGCCGTGGGCACAAGGCGCCATTGGCGAGTCCGAGTGGACTCCAAACAAAGGGAAGCCGACGGATGGAAAGAAAATGTGTGCTCACCCTTTGATGTTCCAGTGAGGTCTCTCACTGACTAGTCCCAACGCGCGCGTGAAACATCCTGAGAGACTAGTGCAGCGCTACAGTCGACATCCGGGTTAGAGGGGTCAACGTCGTTCCCGCTCCCTCACAGACGGATCGCGAAAGAGAGGAGAGTCATGTTAGGACATGAGAATGGCAGAAATAGGCGACAAAGCCCACGCTATGGCAGCAGGCTATCCTCAATTCCCACATCACGAATCGCAAAAAAAATCTAAATTATTAGGGCTATTAACTTAGAAGCGAGGGAATATTGTAAGATGGACATTCCTTTCGAGAGTTTCAGTCTTGCTACATTTCACAGTAGCTTAGTTGTTCTGATAAGTGGCTACAAAAGACAAAAAGGTATGTACACATACATATATAGTGTGCATATGCTATGAAATACCATCAAACCATGTTGCTTGAAAAATTCATGCAGTACACATAACAGGCAGTGCTTGCTCGCTGGGGATAATCCTGTCCAATTAAACTCACAAATAGCCATGATGAAGCCTGTGCAGAAAATTACCCAATGTACCTGCTGTCCAAATCAAACCTTGTGTAATTTAGCTGCTTGAAAACATAAGTAGTTTAAAATGTACAGACATCAAAACAATGCCTCCAAAAGTAAATCATGGGATGACAAATAGACGAGAATCAAAGCAGTATAAATAACACTTTATTAACAGACATGGTATATACATCATTCAAAATTTATGAAGAATCAATGAGCTATCGCTTGCCAGCCAGTTGCTGTTTCATAGTGGCAATTTTGTCACCGACTGCGCGGTTGGCTGCTGTGCACTTTGATAGGATAAAGTTCAAGGCACCCTCGTCCTTCTGCTCAAAGGCAACTTTTGCTGCCTCCTCCAAATTGCTGTTAAAAGAAAAATCAGTGTCATTTATATGCACAGCCACTAAAATAACTCAAAGACAAATGCTGACAGACTGCATGCAGCCAGCCTGAAGGGGCTGTGACACCAAATTTAGCATCAAAAATGGCATCGGTTGTGCAAGTATATACATCATGCAATCATTTCAACTTGTAAATATCACAGTTGCATATTTCCACAGTGCTGGAACATCTACAACAGGAAATACACAAAAGGGTGGGAAGGTACATACCCAATCTTCACAAGGTATCTGACTTTGTTTTCCTCTTTCACTTTTGCCATGTACTTCTGTGCTTCAAATTTGTTTCTGTGCTCCAAGCAAATATCGACAAAAGGCTGAAAGAGCACAACAAAAGTAAAACATAACCAGATGCTCCTAACATCACACTGAGGTCTGGAATATGAATACCGTCTGATGCAGCTGTACCGCCTACCTCATATCCGATGGGCGACTTCTTCGATTTGGAGAACTTTTCTAGTTCCATCCAATGCTCCTTCTCTGCCAACACCTTTATTTTAAGCCACCAGAATCTGGTCAAAAGCATTTTATAGAGTTATTAAAAACGCCAAATAAAATGCTACAAAACCAGTACGACTATCATTCAGTTCATTAAATTGTACAATTGCACTCTTTTTGTTGCAGCTGCAGTCACAACTTGGCAGTCAAAGTATCCTAAAAAGTAACAAACACTTTATTTTCAAGGAGCAAAAAAAAAACAATTTAGAGATTGGTGTTAATTTTTTAGTGAAAATAAATTTTTGTAGCAAGGGCTTTCAACAATGCACATCATTTTAAAGGCCATGTCTCCATGTCTCAAGTTCTTTCAATGGTTGTGGAAGTTTTCTGCAGTATAGGAGCACTGACACAAACTTTGCACCTTTTTTTTTTTTGTGGCAAAAGGCTGAAACCTTATTTGTGCGAGTGCACGGTGGTTATTTATTTAGAGATTCTTTTAGAGCATCCAGTCATAGTTTCGGTTTCAAAGAGCATTAATCTAGGCAGAAGAAGTTCTGGTGGGGAAGTAAGCACAGATGCCCACATGACCACGCAAAACCATGACAGGGTGGCGCGTGTGAGGCCATGCGCGAGCAGGCGCTGCACTGACAGCCAGGACAGCCAGCACACGCAAAGCCGCAGGCATGGAGGAAGAAATTGCAAGTAGTGCAAGCGCAAGGCATGTGCCAAGCAAACAGCCAATGCAAACTCATGACGCAGGTTTGTTTTACACTCCCTCTGCAGTGATGTTGGCATTGTGAGGGGTTTTGCATCACGCTCAGTTGCGTGGCATGTGCTTTAATATTTATTTTAGATATGTTCTAGGCTATATTTGCCCTTGATATTTCATAGATGTTCTGTATGCCTCTAAATAAATCTCTCTCACTCATTATTTCGCCTTCAAGATATTGTGCCAGTGCTCCTTTAATTCTGCACAGAAAGGTTTGTTCACAATATCAAGTTCATTT